TGCTTATGACTTTGTTTTGATATTTTTCAGGTATTGATTATCAGTTTTCACTATACTTTACTGGTTTATTGTGCATTATTACTTTTGCGCCGGTCTCCTCCTGCTTTTTACTGTTTCATGGTTCTTATCTTGTACTTTATTATTTTTATTGATTTACTGCTCTCAAACTTTCTCTCTCTTTTCCTTTTGATAAAAAAATGTACTTTAAAGTAAAACAACAATTAAAAAGACAAACATTGACATTTATGGTAAAAGAACATAGAAAATAGTTCTGTATTTTAAGGCTTTTTTTGTTTTGTTTTGTTTGTTACCAGCGGATGAACTGAGGGTTAGACCCAGGAGCAAACTGGGAGAAGAACAAACTAGAACTTTTAATAACAAAAATAGATAAATAATTAAAATACAGTAAACAGATAATGGACACGAGGAATAAACAGAAGCAGAGGATCCAACAATAAGCTGACGGCACATGGAGGACAGATGGAAGAACTGGCCCGGGCTGCTGAGGACATCTAATGGTCAGAAGGTAAGAACACTAAACACAGCTGGATGACGAGGAGTCTTTTAAACACAAAGGAAACTAAAACTGCATTTCCTATGAAAATGCAGTGTGAATTATTGCTGAAGAACTTGCTGAAAACAGCTGAAATTAGCTAACACATTCTGAAATGTCGCTGAAATGGAAGAACAAGCCAAAGCTAGCAGAAGAAAGCAGAAAGAACATATATTTGCTGAATTTGGTTTGAATAAGCAGAAATGAGCACAACAATTAGTCAATTTGCTAAAAAAAAAGCTGAAATTAACAAAAAGTAAATGAAAAGTAGCTGCAAATGCAGAAAAAAGCTTAAATTACCAGAAGGAAGTGGAGAGAGCGCACCTTTGCTGAATTAGGCTGAGAAAGGTTTAGAGTGGAGTTCAAATTCAAATTAGCATAAAACAGCTAAATAGTAGCTGAAATTGTAGAAAAAGCTTAAACTTGCAGAAATAAGCAGAAGGGAGCATAACAAGCTGAAATAAGCAGAAAGAAGTTAGAAGAAGCAAAAAAAAGTTGTAGTTAGCAGAATAAAGCAGAAAGGAGCACAAAACAGCTGAAATCAGCTGAAATTAGTAGATGTTTGTTTTCAGGAGAAGCTGAAAGAAGCTGAAGCAGAACAAAGTGTGCAAGGAGCAGTAAAAGGTTGTAAACAGCTCTAAAGATTTGAAGGATGGAAAATGAGCTCAATTCATTTTCTATGAGAAAAAAAAAATGGCAGAAAAAAGTTGCAGCAGGTCGTAGCGGGATTGTCCTGAAAGAACTGAGCATTTTGATAAATGATTTGTTGAAACAGATTGAAAACTGTGGGAGAATAGTGCCGAACAACCTCCAGAAGCAAAATGGTACACAACATCATAAACGTTCACACAATGAGGAAAAACTATCGAGAAAATTAAAGTTAACTCACAAACACTGACACAATAATCCTGAAACCATGACAACACGTCCAAACTGTCCCGCCATGCCCCAGGCTTGAAAAGTCAACAGGGCAGTTAAGTTAAGCTTATATATTTTAATATTTGGTATTATTAGTAGTAGTGGTATTTACTTGCATTGTTGCATTATTTGCACAGTTTTCTTCTGCTATATTTATATTATTATAGCTACAATTTCTCATTCTTCTGTGTTCCCTTCATATAATTTAAAAGGAACCCAGAAAAGACTGTAGAGTAAATAATCCCACATGATACATCAATGTTCTGTCAGCTCATGTCAATCCTCGGTGGATCAGTGGAACTCATCTGAACTCCTTCTCTGGACTCCTGAAGACGTTTCAGCTCTCGTATAAAAGGCTTGATTGAGGATGGTCAGAACCGAAGAAACTTTTTGGATGAGAGGTGAAATGCTTTTAGCAATCAAGAAAATAAGTCCAATTGATTTTTTTACTGATCCATTTAGAATAACACAACAACAACAATACTTTTTTAAACATGTGACTTTTTGTTTAACCCACTTTTTGTTTGGTTGCTTTTTGTTCTCAGTTTTTTTCAAACACCGTTGTGGGAATAACTGTAGAGTCACAATTAGAAATGATTTCAGTTTCAGGGGTTTAAAAACAATATATCCTGGGTGTCAGTGCAGCACCAGAGAAGTCTATTTAATATTATAATTTGACTTCTTTTGTTTCAGTGACAGTTTCTGATTCAGCTTGTCATCCCAGCTGAAAGCATTTCATCCATCCATTATCTTTACCCGCTCCTTCCATTTTGGATCGCGTGGGCCACTGGTGCCCGTATCCATCTACCACTGAGCTAGAGGTGGGGGACACCCTGGACAGGTCTCCAGTCCATCACAGGGACACACAGAGACAAACAACCATTCTCTCTCTCACTCACACCTAGAGACAATTTAGAGTTACCAATCAGCCTAACATGCATGTTTTTGGTCTGTGGGAGGAAACTGGAGCACCCAGAGAAAACCCACACATGCACAGAGAGAACATGCAAACTCCACCCAGAAAGACCTCCGGACGGGGATTTGAACCGGGGACCTGCTCGCTGAGAGGCAGCAGCTCTACCAGTTGCGCCACCGTGCTGCCCTCCTGAATCATGATAGACATAAAAACGTGTATGTGATCTGACACTTCTGACACTTGAAGGCTAAGAGTTGTATCTAAATAATCTTCAGTTTTTGCACAGAGACTGCTTGAGGCGTGGTTTTTGCTATGTTTCTATCTGCCTATCTTATTAGGAGTGCTGTGACAGAGTGAGAGACATATGTGTGGTTACCATGGTGACGCCATTGAGTCGCTAATAGCAGGTTTACATTTATTTTGATCTTGGTACTCTATACACGCCTTCCACTGTCTAGACTTTAAAACATCTGAATTCTGAGTCTTGTTTAAATCTGAATTTTTTAATAGTCAAAGGTGTATCTGACAGCCAGCATAAAGTGTACAAAAAGGGTGATCATCATTACACCCCGCAATCTCAAAGGTTCACTGCACTGCCCTCAGGATATACAATCAGGTTCACTGTTTCTGCTGATTCAAGAGCCCCAAACATCTGTAGGGATTGTGGTTTGTTTCCTGGTGTTTAGCCCCATCTTGTGTTGTGTTTATGTCTTGTGTTCTCCTTATCCTTAGTTCCTGTCTTCTATAGAGTTTGTGTTTTTCCAAGTGTTTGCCTCCATTTTGGTGTTGTGTCTCTGTTCTTACACTCCCTGGTTTCCTAATTTGTCATTTCCCCTAATGTGTTTCAGCTGCGTGTCTTCACAGGTGTGTTGTCTTGTTAGTCACTGTATATTGTCTGCGTCTCTGCTGTCCTGCCATTGAGCGCTGTCCACTGGGGATGTCCTGTCTGTGCCTTGTGATTTATGTAAATCTTGCTGCACCATCAGCCTTTTTTGATTTCTTGTTAATAAATACCATATTTTATAATCTCCTGAATCTGCTACTGCCTGCCTGCACCATTGGGTTTACCTTCACCAGCCTAATACGACAATATCTTACCTAAATCTTTCTGATTTGATTAATCATATTACTGTACTGGTTTGCAAGAACAACATGTGATGAAGCTCTTTAAAAAAAACTTTTATGGATTATTTTTGATCCCAGATACCTTTTCTTATGAAGTTTGGACCAGTCCTACATTTAAATGGTCCATGATTTTTTAATTAAAGGGTGTTATATTTTTTAGGATGGTCAGAGACTAACTCAAACCAGTAGCAAAAAGACAGGCCTGGATTATGTCTCCTTCCAAGCACCTACCCTGCTTAACATGATGAGTGGCTTTAAAGTCAGCTGGAACTGCAAAGCTCCTTGGAATGAACAGGACTCCCATTGACGGACTGGAATTTAATGACTGGAATGTAGACCCTAAGGAGCTATGAGCAGTAAGTGGTCCTAAAGGTTATACCTGTAGAGGAATATCCTGATGCATGCTCAATAATCCAGGTAGAAAAATCTAAAAAAGTTACGTCTGGTCCTCTGGACATTCAAACAACAAAACAAAACCAAAAAGGTCCATGCTCAATAATCCAGGTATACAATCCAACAATCAGTCAGATCTGCTAAACTTTTTCTTTTTTTTTTTTTTTTTTGCTAACAAAACAAAACAAAAAAAGTAGAAACGTTTCATCTTTCATCCAAAAGACTTCCTCAGTCTGAGGTGCTGTATTCAGTTCAGTCTCTTAAATAGCACCTTCTCCGAGTGGATCAACCAGTTTGCTGCTGACAACCAGAACCAGCTGCTCACATGGTCCAGAAGGACCATCAGCCTAACAATGTTCTTGTATTTTTGCAGATTCTTTTAAATTAAAACAATGAACTGAGCAGGCATGTGATTTTATTTTATTTAATTGTTGAGAAATTGAGTATCCTACTTTGAAGAAATAAAGCATAATGTTGAAGTGAGTATAATTTACTCTGTGTATTAGTACTAGTATACACATATTTGCAAAGGAAATTAAGAAAACTGCTAAAACTATTCATTTTATGTTGTGGGTATAACTGTTCTATAAAATTCAGTTTTATGTTTGTTTTGGTCAAAGCTTGAAAGAGCTGCTGCAGAGGAACCACGAGAGCCTCAGGTGGCCCCAGAGCTGCAGGTTGCAGACCCATGTTCATGTCCATGATGGATGATTCTGGCTGTAACAGGTCTTTTGGTTATCACAGAGATAAATATGAGCACAGCTGATCCTACAGAGATGTTAAATGTGTTGTGGTAGTATCACTCGGTTTAACAGGATGTTGTTACACAGTAAAACTGTATTAAACCAAGCACGTCCGTAATTAATTAATTCCTATATACCATTCATTTAGAAGGCTTTAGGTGCATTTCAAGAATATTATTTAAATAGTGACTTTGATCAAATGATGTTCTGCTGCTGAGGACACAGAAAATCACATTTTTTTTCTTACGACTGAAAATAAGAGAATAGAAAGAGCAGATGTTCCATATTTTGTAACCCCATCTCTACAAGGTCTTTACATATACAGAAGAGTTGTTTTGAAGCTTTTCCTCACCTTGATGGGGAAGTACTGCCGCATGTAGTCCCAAAGTTTGAGGCCACATATGAAGGGCACCCTGCGGCCTCCACGTGCAGGTGTGTCATAGTCATAGTACCACCAGGTGGCATAGAGCACGCTGAGGAGCCAGAACCGAGTGAACAGCAGGGATAAGAAAAGGATGATGCAGGCGGGCGCTGTGGAGGAAATCAGCAGTGAGCAGCAGCAACAGTCTTACAAACTGTGACTTATCATTCTCATCAGGTTTCATGCAAAAATCATTCATTGTTACAACATAGAAGATTGTTAGTTTGGCTATTTCATTATTGGGCCTCTGCATGAAAGTTATAGATTTCTGGTGGAAAGGTGCATTTTTAATATTGAGATTCAGAATTTTCTCCATCAACAATGCTGATTATCATTTTTACTTCCAGCCACAGACATTCAGTGCATTGTGTGAAACATTAAAAATGCTGTTGTCTAAAAATGTTCCCACTCCAAAAGCAGCACGGCATCCATACACAACCAAAAGTTCACATGTGTGTCAGAAACCAGCAGCTATAAGTCACAACGGTTATTAAAAAAAACAGCACACAGTTAAAAGTCTCCTAAAAATAAAGTCAGTGAGAAAACTCTAAAATGATGAAGGTTGCAAACAAAATGTTTTGAAGGGATGTTCCAAGCATCATAGGTGGAGTTTCATGTAAAAATCATGAACAAGAACTATCTTACCTGTTGCAGATAGCTCTTTTTGAGCAACCTCAGTTTGAAGAAACAGTTTGTGTGACAGGAATGATGAGCTAACAGCTAGGCTAAGACTAAAGTGCTGCTGCTGCCTTAAATCTGCTCTGATCTCCAGAGCAAACACTGTTCCATTTACTGATGTCACTTTCACATTCATCTTTTTTACATGGAAGTCTGGGAGTATCTGTAAGCAGATGGTTGAATCACTGTGAGAGAGGCGGGGTGCACCAGTGGCATACAACTGATACTTGATGTTTAGTTTCTATCAAGGGAAAGGGGACATTTGGAGGTAATTTTGTATTGGACTTTCAGCAGAAATACGACTTTCCTGCAGGAGGTGCATTAAGAAGCATCAGAAATGTTACAGCTAACTCTTGTTGCTGTTTTTCAATTCATGTACTTTGTACATAACTGAATAATGCAGAAGTGACAGTGATGTAAAGGTCCATGAAATAGTGCTTGCATGAAATATATTAAATTTTGATGATTGGAGTTGGTGGCACAGCTGGTAGAGCTGCAGCCTCTCAGCAAGAAGGTTGCTGGATCAAATCTCCGGGTACTCCAGTTTCCTCCCACAGATTAAAAACATGCATTAAAAACCAGAGTACCCAGAGAAAACCCACACATGCACAGAGAGAACATGCAAACTCCACCCAGAAAGGCCCCGAGCCAGGATTCGATCCAGCAACCTTCTCGCTGAGAGGCCACAGCTCTACCAACTGCGACACCGTGCTGCCCGATCTGCAACATGCAAGACATCCATTGTTCATGACTTGTACACAGAATGCTCAAAATATCCATTTAGTTTAATCATGTTTGCAAAGATCAACAATCCAGAGCTGAGTCAGGCCGTCTTATCAGGACACACCTCCCATCAGCATGAATTGGCTGTTTTACAAGTTCAAGAGGTTTATATATAGATTTGGGGGAAACTTATGAACCAATTTATATTTTGTGTTACGCAAACTGAGCAAATCTAGTGAGAAAATATAATTTATAGTTCCAGATGTTTTTTGACTGGACCACAGGCCTGTATCATACAAATAAAGACAACAGATGTGTTGCGCCAACCTTCCAGAGGTCAGCTCAAAGAGATTTGCTCCAATGCTGACTGAAAACATATAAAGCTTTAACACCGCTCAGGTCACATCAGACTTCGTGCCCTCTTAAAGGTCAACAATAACTTCAAGAACGTTTTCAAACTGATTCCTTTATATTCCAACAGCAGCACACACACGTATATGTGTATATATAATTATTACATCCATCCATTGTACTGTTTTTACTGTTGCTCTGGGAAGCAAACACAAATTTTGTTGTATTTAGGTGCAATGACCATAAAGCTCTATTCTAATTTATTCTATTCTATATTTCAACACTTCCAACAAAGGAAGGTAAAATAAGTCCAAGCTTGTACTTTACACCCTCTGCTGCTGATTTTCTGTCTTTGGCTGTTTCAGTTCGATCACCAGCACTCACCCATGGCGAGGAAGGAGAAGACCCACAGCACCATGGTGGTGGTCTGCAGCCTCCTGTCAAGGGGCACGTCCAAAGGCGCAAAATCAATTTTCATTTTCTCCACAAGCCAAGAGCGAACAAACCGACGTGTTGCTGCTGAGAAGAGCAGCCAAGGAAGTGGGTCCAAAGTCTTTCCTTCTCACCTCTACACCATCACCTCCTACCGACAGGCTTATCTTTGGGCGATGCACAGTCGGATGTGCACTGCCTCAGACTTTTGAACTGGTAAGAAATCAGCTGCTTGAACATAAAGCTTGTAACATTACCAAGAAATAAACTGACAAAAAAAAGACTTTTAGCCTTTTCATTCTGCTCTTATTGTAATAAAGTCCATTAAGTCCATGCACTGGCCTTGAAGTTTGGTGGTTTTTAGCAGGATTATGCAATATGGTGCTCTTTGTGCATGTGCTCAATGTGTTGAGCAACCATACAAACGTATTTCAGTGTTGAGTAATAAAGGTAGTGAGGAGGGGCTAACCCAGTCCTTATCTTGCATTCACACTATCAGTGTTGCATTAAATACTTTGAAATTATTCCAGCTTCTTTTTCATGTAAAGTGCTGACAGCTTTACACCGTTTATGAACCAAAGAAAACATGTAATCCAAGGTGCATGTAGAGGGAAACAACACCAGGTAGAGAAAGAGCCATTAAATCCATATGTTGCATTCAAAGTCAGAGCAGTAAAATTCAATACGGAGTCCACGTTAGTTGAGGTTTCATCTGCGTGTGTCTGAGCGTCCAGTTTATTCTATGAACTGAGTGACACTCGGGAGCAGCAACACGTTTAACCTAAATTTAAAAAGAGGGACTTGAATTGCCAGTTAGGAGATTGTGTCAGTATTTTGTGATCTTTGGTTATCAATTAGGGGAGTTTTGCATTTATTTATTTTGCTTATTTTGTACGTCTAATGATGATCTTGTCAGAGTCAGAGATTCTTTATTGTCATTCGCACCTCATGTGGTACATGTGGTGGAGCGAAATTATGTACACAGGGTCCCAGTTACATCCAACAATAAAATGTAAAAGAAAAACAGTGATAACATCTAAGATATGAACTAAGAAAAACATCAACTAAATATACACTAAGCACTAATACCATAAAAACATTACTTTGAACAGCAGCACGAATATGAGCACGAGTCTATGTGAGCGGATGAGCACGCATGAACACATCAACATGAAACAGATCAGCAGCAACATGAAACAGATCAGCAGCAACATGATGTGATTTTTCAGTGATTATTCTGGTTAGAGACTCGTGAGTCTAACAGCCTCAGGGTAGAAGCTGTTCCTCAGTCTAGTGGTTCTACACTTAATGCTCCTCAACCTCCCTCCTGAGGGGAGTGGGGCAAAAAGTGTGTGTGCTGGGTGAGTGAGGTCCTTCATGATGCAGGTGGCCCTCTTCCTGCATCTGGAGGTGTAGATGTCTGTGATGGTGGGGAGGCTGACTCCAACATCTTCTGTGCAGCCTTCACCACTCTCTGCAAAGCTTTTCTTTCTGCAGCTGTGCAGCCTCCATGCCACACGTTGATGCTGGAGCACAGGATGCTCTCCACTGCACACCTGTAGAAGGAGGTGAGGACTGAGCTTCCAGACCAGCTCGTCTCAGCCGCCTGAGGAAGTAGAGTCTCTAATGAGCTTTCTTGATCAGGCTGGTGGTGTTGTTGCTCCAGCTGAGGTTGTCATTTATGTGTACACCCAAGTACTTGTAGCTGGAGACCACTTCCACCGCAGATCCTCTTATGTTCAGGGGGGTGTAGGTGTGTTTGTTCCTTCTGAAGTCCACAATCATCTCCTTTGTCTTCTTCACATTGATGTGAAGGTTATTCTCTCTGCACCAGCTCTCCAGGTGTTCCACCTCTTGCCTGTAGCTGGACTCATCATTGTTTGTGATGCATCCCACCACCGCTGTATCATCTGCAAACTTTACAATGTGACAGCCTGGATGGGTAGCTGCACAATCATATGTGAGCAGAGTAAACAGGAGGGGGCTCAACACACATCCCTGAGGAGAGCCAGTGCTGAGGGTTATGGTGGAGGAGGAGAAGTTGTGGATCCTCGCTAACTGTGGTCTGTTTGTTAAGAAGTCTAGTACCCATGGGGCTTAGTCCTAGTGTGGATAGTTTGTCCATCAGGGTTTGGGGGATCATGGTGTTGAAGGCGGACGTGAAGTCCACAAAGATCATACTATCTATTGTTACTATTATCTATTTGAGCACACATTTGCAGCTAGTTAGTCCTGATGCTGCTCAATAATCCAGGTAGATAAACCTAACAAAGTTGAGTCAGGTGCTCTGGACAGATTTTTCTTTGTTGAAATGTTTTTTAAAGATGAAACGATCTATTTATTTTAATATTTACTTATGTTGAGCATTTTTAAATATCTGGAAATGACTATTTTACAAAACAAATTTATACATGAATAAAAATATATGTTTTTTGTGTACATTAATATGTGTTCAATCTCATTATATTATCAGTTACAGAAGGTCTTGGTTTTGTGTTGAGACTTTAAAAGTTCCTCCACTGAGGGACATGCGCTGTCAGAACAGCGATGTTTTATTTTTTATTCTTAAACCCTGGAAAGCCTTAAATTAATAAACTGTTTTATTTATATCTGAGCTGACTTAGAACATTCATGTGTTTGGAAACAACCACTCCGGGGTTTATAAGGGAACTACTGCAGTGACCTTTACGTCAAGAGCGCAGGAAAAACGTCGTGTGCGTCGTTTCCCCTCCATTCACATTTCAAAATAAAAGCACAGACAGTAATATGCGTGCTCAAGGTGTAAACTGGGAGCTATTGAGCTACTTTTAAACACGTTTTGTTTCCATTCGTCTAATTTAAACTCACGCCATTGTACTCACTACAAACGAACCGCGGTGTTCGATGCCGCTGAGGTCAAACCGGAAGTTAACCTGTCCAGCTTGACGCTCCTCCTCCTCGGAGATGCTGAGCAGGTGGGCGGGGCTGTTATTGTGCCGTGCCGTGCCGTGATGTAGCAGGACAAACGGAGGTGATAAAGAAAGAAGCAGAGCAGACGACTGATTTGTAATAAACTTGTTTAAATCTGCACGATTCTCGGCCCGCGATGGATTTATTTAACAGGCGGATTTAAAGTCGAAGCGTCGGACATTTTGGTTCCGCCCTGCAGAGGCGCAGAGCTTGGTTCGGGCTCGGTGGTTCAGTGGAGCTGCGCTCGGTCCAGCATCATGGCGTGGCCCTGCATCAGCAGGGCGTGCTGCATGGCGCGCTTCTGGAACCAGCTGGACAAGGCGGACATCGCCGTGCCGCTGGTCTTCACCAAGTACACGGACGCCTCCGAGCTGCAGCACGTCCAGCTGCAGCCGCCGCAGGCCCGGGTCGCCATAGAAACGCAGCCCTCTCGCGCGGAAACCTCCGTCGCCAAGGCTGCGCGCGGGCCGCGCAGGTGCGTCTCCGAGGAGCGCGTGTGCAGCTCTGTGATGCGCGAGGACTTTAAGCACTGGAGAGTGCGTCCGGAGCCGAGCTGCAAGCCCAAGAACCAGTACCACGAACCGGAAACACCGTTCAACAGCGAGACTCAGTACCAGAAGGACTTCAAGCCCTGGCCTATCCCCAAAAGGTACGACCACCCCTGGATACCCAAACCCCCGGGGGGGCCCCCTGCGGACCCGCGGCCACCGGACAGGTCGAGGCACGCGAAGCAGCACGCGGCGGACGCGGACTGCGGCGTGGAGAAGAGCGCCGTCGCAGACAAGGTGCAGGAGAAAGAGCTCCTGCAGGAGAGGAAGAGGCGCTCCGGGAGGCCGGAGGGGGAGAGGAAGGTGGTCCTGAAGGGGGAGGGGGAGGGCAGGGGGCGGGCGGCGGCGGATGCTTTGAACAGGCAGATCAAAGAAGAGATCACCGCGGGAAGCTCGTCATACAAGTCAGTTGTTACTCTCTCCTCTCACTCATTGATGTGTGTGTGCGCGCGCGCGCGCGTGTGTGTGTGTGGGGGGGCTTTGTGTTTGTTACATTGTTAGGCCCATTTTTCCATCATATATTGTGAGGAGCACTGGTTAGGTTAAGTACTGGTAACAGTACATACCAGTACATACCAGTACATACTGGGGGTGTTTTCAGCAACCTCAGGGCCTCAAACAGCTCATCGGGTCCATACTGGGTCAGAGCCATTTCAAAACGATTGGAGGTCATGAGAATTAAAAACCTGCCTTTTCTCCAAACAGTGCACCTGCTGTGTTTTCTGTCAGACATTCAGACGGAGAGCATTTTGTTTTATGTTGAGTCCTCAACTTATTAAATTATAGACATCTGTTATAGATGATATGTCCAGAGATCACTTTCAGCAAGCTTCGTTATAATCTGTTCAGTGCTGCATGAGACAAGCAAACATACAGATGCCAGCAAGAACTATATTACCCAACTTTTGGTGGCGGGTGAGAATGTAAGCAGCTGTAACAGAGACAGTTCATGACTGCAGTCCAGGCAGGACGGAGTGATGGAGGAAAGATTCAGGAGTGATTTGTGTCAAAAGGTGTCAGCAAAGGTCAAAGGAAAAGTCTACAAGACAAAGGTGAGACCAGCTGTGTTGTATGGTCTGGAGACAGAGACATGGACAAAAAGACAGGAGACAGAGACATGGACAAAAAGACAGGAGACAGAACTGGAAGTGGCAGAAATGAAGATGTTGAGGTTCTCCTTAGGAGAGACAAGGATGGAGAAGATCAGGAATGAGATCATCAGAGGTACAGCACAGGTTGAACAACTGGGAGATGAAGTTAGGGAGGCCACACTGAGATGGTTTGGACATGTCCAGAGGAGGGACAGTGGTTTGGACATGTCCAGAGGAGGGACAGTGGTTTGGACATGTCCAGAGGAGGGATGGTGGTTTGGACATGTCCAGAGGAGGGACAGTGGTTTGGACATGTCCA